TAGTACCAAGTATATTGTTGCTTCATGGTAGTTGGAAAAGATCACGTACTATCTTCAATTCCGTTGAATTATGGGCTATCTTTATTCTCGTAAATGCTCTTCAACTCACTGGAAAATGGGAATCAGTAGTGGTACTACAACCATCTGACGCACGGGTAAGTGGAAACAGTTTTAATGTAAGTGGAAGTTAAATTTTTGTTTGAGGGAACGTGGGAGTGTTAGAGTTTTAATGTAAGTGGAAGTTAAATTTTTGTTTGAGGGGACGTGGGAGTGTTAGTTGAAGTTAACTCCTCCTTATTTGAGGGAAACGTGGGGATGTAATGTGCCCATGATATTTTTTACGAAATAAAATAAACGTGAAATGCTAGGAAAATAGAGTTGAGAGTGGGAAGGGTTGTGGAGGGTTGTTCCTAAAAATCCCTTCTCAAATTTATATAGATACGTGGGAGTGTTAGAGTTTTAATGTAAGTGGAAGTTAAATTTTTGTTTGAGGGGACGTGGGAGTGTTAGTTGAAGTTAACTCCTCCTTATTTGAGGGAAACGTGGGGATGTAATGTGCCTATGATATTTTTTACGAAATAAGATAAATGTGAAATGCTAGGAAAATAGAGTTGAGAGTGGGAAGGGTTGTGGAGGTTTGTTCCTAAAAATCCCTTCTCAAATTTATATAGATATAGATGTGTGGGATTCACACAATTTTGCTCTAGAATTAAAAAGTAAGTTATACCATATGCAAATAGAGTTACAGCATGTGTAAAATGTACATAACCTTCAGGAGCGGTTGGTTGAGCAACCAACCGTTCCTGCCCCTGGTCCAGCGTCATTAAACTGTTCATCTCTTTCTTCATCTCAGATATCCTTAATATTCCAATACGTGGCCTGGCCTCATTTGAGCTTTCGAGTCCTGTAGAAATTTGTTTTTGAAAAAGTCCAAAAATGTTTTCTAACTCGTACTTTTTTTATTTTTATTTTTATTTCACGTACATGTTTATAAGAGAAAAAAGTTCCAAAACGCATACACATATACTTCCAAAAAGAAAAAAGAAAAAAAAAGTCCAGACCGTAGAAGTTCTAAAAAGTTAAATTTAGATAACTAAAATTATTCCTATAATTCCTAGTCATCAAACATACAGATTTTTTGGTAGCTAAAATCATCCCTAAATAATATACTTACTTTTGTTAGCATTTAAGAAAAAAGCAGTAAATTTCTCGTTAACTATAATTGTGTAGAGCGATTATCTTCATCAATAGTGGTGATTACATGAAATATTCAGAATCAATGGTTTGTTTGGATAGAGTATTATTTGAAATAATTATTGTAATATTTTTTGTGATGTGATGTATGCGAGATACAAAAATGATTGAAAATATAAAAAATTTAATAAAAATATATGTTTATGATATAAGCAAAATATTATATATAAAAAAATTAAATATTCACAAATATATTATATGTTCGTTTAAGAACATGTTACGTAAAATCTATAAAACAGGGGCATTGACGTGGCCCCATCCCAACCGTTACAACAACTGAGTTTATACTCTATCTTCTACTACGCTCCATCTCAGTCTTACCCGCTGGATGGAGGAACAATGGGACCAATCAAAACTTCTCCTGCGCCCGTAACGGCCTGTCACGGAGTTTTCAAATCACAGTCACGTCAGAATAAACAAATCTCTGGAGTCGTAAGTTCCTAAGACTGCATCTTCATCACCTCCTCCTCCTCCCCAAAAATATCATTAATGCTTTACTTTTAACCTTAAAATAAATCCAAATCTCCATTTTTACTACTGCTGCTGCTTCTTTTCATACCATTCCACTGCTACTAAAACTAGTAATTACTCGCCGTAGGTCGTATTTTTGCACATCTGTTCCTTCACCTTAAAAAAAAAAGCCTTATTAGGGTTTTAAGAATTTCCCCATTTGTAATTCTATCTTAAACCCCTCTCAAGCTCTTGTAAAAGGTAAAGTCCTTCGTTTCCTGAGCTTTTAATTTCCGTCCTTTTTTTGTCTTTTTTTGTTTTGGGTTCCGGGTTTCAGTAACCTTTTGTGTTTCTTGAAAATCTTTTAGCAGAATCTGAGCCTTGATAATGTGATTAGATTAACTTTAATGCATCAAAGTTAAATTTTTTTTCTCTTTTAGATGTCTTCATGTCTGCATTTCAAGATTTTGCTCTTAGGGTTTTAGAGAATGATATAAAGTTCGGTTCTTTTTTTTTTTTTTGGGGTGGAGTTTTATACTGCATGCAAAGATTGCCATTGTTAAAATATTTTCTTCGGGACTATTAAGTGTAAGAAAAAATGATAGTCCTCGTCTTTAGCTCATGGTAAAAGTAAGTCTTTTTTTGTGTGTATATATTGCTTATTTTGGTCTCTGGGCTTTCTACTAGTTTTCTGTGCTTTAGGGGAGATTCAGTCTTTGAGAAGCTATAGGAATGTTTAATTTAAGTACGCCGATGCATACTTATTTAGACGTGCGCTAGTTGTTGAAACAATTAATCGCATACTGTCTTGATTTAGAAGTGCAGACATTTGGGATCAATCTCTGATAAATTAACGCTCCTCAATATCAAGAGCTAGAGGTAGGCAAGGAGGGACAAGGTGTATATGACAGTACATTAATTGTTTTTCTTTGATTGGTCCTTATATGAAGAGGTCAATTGCAGTGTCGTCTTTGCTTGGATATGTTTTATACAAATGATCTTGTTTCCTTCTGGTAGTATGCCTATTAATTCCTTTGTGGAGCGGGGTAGGGCGTTTTGGGTAATTATCATATTAGTTGATGGAAGGACAGCTGAGGTGTCTAAACCTTCTCCCTTAAGGGTTATAATTCATTGATAGGGTGTTGTCCACATGTAAACTTTTATATTGCTATATAAAGATTGCTAATGCATTGAATTTTCAGTTTGAAAACTCTATGCTTTTTCTGTTAGTAATCATTGTGATGGCTCTTTCTCAAACAGGGGCAAGGGCCAACATTTCCCCAGTAGAAAGTAATTGTGCAATTGTATCTGGACAATGAGCCAGGCTATCCAATCAGAGGGTTCTAACCTGACGCAGGTCCTACCTGCAAAACGAAAAAGGGGTCGCCCGAGGAAGGATCAGAGCCTAAATCGCGTGGGACTCGCTCGTGTTCCACCTGGTTTTGAAGGAATAAAAGAGAACAAATCCCGAAAAGCAGATAAATTTGATGACAAAGATAATATGGTTGGCCAGGCAGTTGCAGGGGTTGTTGAAGCCTCATTTGATGCTGGTTACTTGCTAACTGTCAGGATTGGCAACTCCCATACCATTTTGAGGGGAGTTTTTTCAAGCCTGGGCATTATGTTCCTGTAACGTCACAGAATGACGTAGCTCCCCATGTTCAAATGATCCAAAGAAGCGAAGTCAGTCTCCCTTTGTATAACCAGATGCAGAGCAGCAACCCATCTAGAGAGAGGAATGACATTCATGGATCGTCATCCCAAATAGCTAACATGGTGGTCAAAAAAGGAATATCTACTTCTCCAACAGCAGGCCCTTCATTTCCTCCTGTAGGTTCCAGAGGTAATGTGGTTCCTGTTGTATTGCAACCTCTCGGTCCTACAAATGGACCACTACCTGGCAATCAAGTGATTCTGGATGGATCACCTTCAAAAGGTAGAGAGGTGGTGACTGTAGAACCATTGGCTATGTTACGACCAGATGAATCAGCATCCTCTAGCCAGTTTCAGGTTGCCACAAATCAACAGCAGCCTTCTCAAGTGCAAACTAGCAACCAAGTACGAGCAGGAAGTGTTCCGATTGAAAATGGATTGTACAGTGAAGTTGTATCTGTGGTTGGACACAGGGAAGAAGCTCAAGAAGTGAAGCGAACCAGTGTGCCGACACCAGGAGAACCACTTACGGGATCCCAAGGCTCTTCACAATCTTCAGAAACTCATGTTGATAATGATAAATCATCAGCTGGAACCTCTCAAATGGAGTCAGACCAAGAAATTGGCGATGTTCAGTTACCATCTGATCTTAAACCCATGAATAATCATGGCAAGGGCCGAATGACTGAGCTTTTACAGGTAAAAAAGAACCATTAACTTCAAATATTTGCACGAGACCGATGTTTACATGTATACGTCTCTGTAATAGTTTTTGATAATGAAGACTAAAGTTAAAGTGTCTTGTATCAAGGCCTTGCAGGAAAATTTTGACAACCAGATGCCTCAAGCTGAACCATCCGCTGGATCTGGAGCAGACTCTCTAGAAAAGCTGAATCCAGAAACATGTGGAAAAGACGAGAGAACCAATGAATGACCTTGTTCTAAAAAAGAAGCTTCTGATTTTAGCGGGTCACCTCAAATTTTTTTTTTTTAATCCTTCTATAATGAATTTGGTAAGCATCTCAGAATGGAGTGATACAGCAAAATGGGGCAAACATAACCTGGTGTGCAATCCGGCCTGGCCAAGGGCCTTTAGATGTTGATGTGCGAACATAGAGTTTAGGTGAAAGAAGTTTGATTTTAATAGCTGTAATGTAGGTCAGATACTCAGAGCTTGGCCGTGCTCAATGTGTAGTGAATGTTTCTCTATGAGAACTAACTGGTTTTGGGGATTTTTCTCAAGGTGTTGATGCTTTTCTTTTTCCATCATTCAAATCATCCCGTTTCTCTTGTATTTCAGCACCTGGTTCTATGGATCTTTTTGGTGATTGATGAACGGAAAGGCTTGAAGTACTTGAGATTTGATTTGTAGCAGGGTTACTTTCGTGCATTACATTTTGCAGGTAGTAGAACGGTAGCTATAGCGGGTAAGAGGCCACGAAAAGGTTACCACCTGCCTAGAAAGTATTTAGAGGATCTGCAAGATCAACCAGTCGCTCAAGATCCAATTAGACGGTGAAAGTAAGATTGTCTCTCACTTGGATCGGTAAAGGAAAATGGCCGTGACAAGAATGGGAACGAGTGATAAACAAGTTAAAGCAAAACATCTTGATACATGGGAAATATTAGACAAGGCATACGAGAGCCAGAACACATCGGAAGCATCTTGAGTACGATATGAAGATAAAAGAATTGGAGCGATTGTTCTCCTAATTATGCTCATAAATGTCACATATATGTACGACAGCCTTCACTTCCAACCAAATACGGATAAAGGCAAACAAAAAATTGACTTAAGCTTCAAGATATAAGATGACCAAAAATAGGGTCCCTTGCACTTTTACAAAATCAATGGCCTCTGCTCTTAGTAGCACTACTGGTAGTAGTACAAAATTTCAAAGCACCCCCAATAGCCAATTCAACAAAAGCGCACATACAGGTGAAGTACTGTATATCCACCCATACTTCCGAAACAAGACCAACTAGCTCCACTTAAATGCAATTTACAGTATCGAGTACCTACATCTAAGCTACAAATAAGCATAGCTAACCCGGTTACTAAACCATACACCAAAATTTCCGCATCATGGGGATACAAAAGTATCAGGGGGGGTGACCATTTCACGATTGACAGACAAATTTGGCGCTTAAGGAACCATCAGATCCTGGAACTGGAATGGACCCATACTGGGAAAGAATGGAGCTGAAATAGGGACGTACGAAGGAACTGCAAATGGCTGCTGCCCATTAGCTAAAATGGAGTAACATAAAGCTGCAGTGCTTGCATTGTTGCGATTCCTGCAGTTGATGATGATTTTTCTGGTTACAAACGTGTGTCTGAGTGTGCATTAAAAAGTGTGGAACATTGTGTAGAATATGCATTTACAGTTCCAGACTAAGAGGCTGAGCAGAATAATGCAGACTGGCAAACAGGATGGAGGGAAGAAGAAGAATGAGAGAGAACACAAACAATAGAATTTTTGTAAGCAACATAAATAGTACTCTTAGAAGTCTCTCATCAAAAGCAGCATCAACCAACAAACTTCAATCACATAATCTGAGTATTTAAAAAAAGACCATGAAGAATACTAGCATAATAATTTCATGTCCGAGATGACAATCAACTCACTCAAGAAAACTGTCAAATCTGGTATATACTCGAATATGTAGTCAGCATGACAAGGGTTCCTTTTCCCAACATGGTAAATAACTAAAACTGTCAAAAAGTTTTGCCTTACTCAATAGCCACATGATTGCACAATTGGGTGAGAATGAGGCCCTTTTAACTACTTTCAGCAGACAAACAAAGTAATATCCATGAATGATCAGTTACAATCTGACCAAAAGCCGTACATCCCTCTGGACACAAAGTAGATGACCAAACTGTTTGCAAAAATGCAATTGCATATGTGCTTTATGCAAAGCAATCCAAAAGATGAATCAACTACTGAGGCAGGCAGCAACTATAAACTTATCTTCTAAGAATTCCTAGAGGTCTACATATGTAGTGCACATGAAATCAACTGCTTTACTCCCAACACCATTTGACTTTAAAGGAATTTTTTTTTCATTTCTCTTGAACCTATCCATACATCTGAAGATCCATGATTTGCCAAACTATATAATGCCAGATATCCTTGTCCCTTGTGACTATAATGTTACCTTTGTCCTAGTAAAAAGGAAAGGTGAACTACAAAAAGAATACAAGTAAAAATTAATAATCAGATTTCAGATTTCACTAAGCTACATAATCAACAAGTTGATTTCTTCAAATACTTGCTCTGAACTGTCTCCATACCTTGGTTTTTGGGAAGATTTGCCTGATGTGGCATCAGCAGAGGATGTGAAGATAACTGAGAATATCCTGCCACACCCTGAGTGGCATCCTATTAATATCATAGAAGAGATTAGATGTGAAAATAAGAAGGGATCAGAAATTACATATGCATGGTGAAAAAAGAACAACACATGCAAGAAGGAAATTATAAAAGAAAGAGAGAAACACAAACAACCAGCAACAGTGACTTTTAAGCTAACCAGCGAAGTATTGAACTAAAAGTAAAATGAATACAAACACATCCCATAACTCCCCCAACCATAATTTCTTAGTTGCAGCATATTCCATCATAGATGACACTGTATTGCTCAAAGAAGCATGAAAAGTTCAATTTTAAATTACTGACATTCCAGCAGTTGTGGCTAGAACCCTCAGTGTGTGCATCATGATGCAATCTCAAGTCAATAAAAGTTGCCTATGCTATGAACAAACAAGTCAGAAGTTGTCTCACATTAGAAACGGAAGTGCATAAAACAGCGGCCCGCTCGCCCAGTCATCTGCAAAGTCAAGAATGCTAACACAAATTAGCTAAATTATCTGCAATCCAGTAGCACACCAACTACATAAAAAAGAAAACCAAACGAAGAAAACTAGCAATCTAACTGTCCCCTGCTACATACATTTTGCGAATTTTGATGCAGATACGTTGTCCCAGCTTGAAGATGATTATACTGATTGGCATATCTAACTGGAGGTGTCCTGCTTCCCACATGTCCAACAACCTACACGTAAAAGAGACAAAGATACAGTGAGAAATTGACATCATTAAAGATCCCAGAGATGGTGGAAAACTGTACAGATATCAAAACAGATACAGATATTCAAATAGTTGCCAACGTTGACTAATTTTTGCTCTTTTTATTACTTGTTCTGTCACTCTTCCTTTAAACTTCACCATTCATAGTAGCACAACTGACAAATGCTCTCAAAATTCATCCAATCTATCAATCTCATCTAATGACTAATGCAGGAAAAGACGAGCTAAGAGTATAGGACAGATGGCATCTCAACCACCAATCTGCTGTAGCAGCTTAAAATGAAACAACAGAAAAACTTAGCATCTCCCACATGAACATCACAGAATTTGAAAACTTGAATAAACAGAGCGTCCCCCATAGATGCAGTGATGATTTGGATGGCAATGTCACAAGGCCAAAGGGTTTGATGTAATCTAGAGTTTTTGACATGTTTATCTTTTCAAAGGAACTAACTTGGACTTACAAATTACGGAAGATCTTTAAAAGCTTTAACACTTTCAAGTTTCCAACACAAGAACACTAAAGATATTTATTACCTTTTTCAGAGAAGAGCTTATAAGTGGGAAGTATGCTAAGAAGGTATACTTGACAATTATTATTAAAGAGAAGTGGTTTTAAGAAAAGAGAACATGTCTAATAAACTAAAACCCAAGCCTAATTGTTAAAATGGGAAACCATAGCAGTCATGCAGAAAAACTTGACAGGCTAATTTTGGACATTTTTTTAAGATCAAGTTATCAGTAAAAGGTGGGAGGCTTGAAAAAGGAAGTTCCTGCATATGAAACCTTATCTAGTGTTCCAAATCTGCTTCAAGGATCTAGAAAACGACCTTCAAAAATCGTATTTCCCTATCATCTGGTTTTACATTCATGTCATCCACATGATTCCCAATCTAATATGATTTATGGGCAAGTAAAAATGCTTGCGATACTAGTACTATGGAAATGGGAGGATAGAGGAAGCACAAACAAATGTGAAGGACAACATACCGAAGAAACAGTAACCACCCCCATGGTCTCAGGAGAATAGCTAAAGGAAATGAAAAAGTTGATAAAAGGGCCTTAGTGTTTTTACAGCAAATTCTGCAATACTATTATGGTATATATATGACAAATGTTCCCTGAAGACAACTGTCACGATTCATAGATGTATTGTTACTATGGCGGACAGAAACATATATATAAAGAACTTCGTTTGAAGGCTACCAGTAAAGATGCATTACTAGATTACTTTGCCTGTATCATATTGTGATATTATTTTTTCACCATCAGCCCTCTTCCAGATGTTTAGATGAATTAAACTGTGTAACTGTATAATAACTAAGGAATCATTAAACAATATGACAAGAGTTGGTAAGCATACAGGCTGGACATATTGTAGATCACTCCAGCCATTTCCCAGAAACAGGTTATTACGCGTAAGAAACTTAGCAGGTACAGAAGAACAATAGGCAAAGGAACTCAAATCAGCTTCTGGATCTGCAGGTGCATTTGATACCGTGGGTGGGGGTTCTGGTGTGCGCGATGGCACTGCAGGAGGGTCGCTGATCTATGTTGCAAAGGTGATGGAGAAAACAACTTTGCTCTTGGGTTGAGCTTAGATTCCTGAGAAGAATAATGTGTCACGAGATGACTTATGAAACTAAAAATTAATAAACCAAGTATTTGAGCAAAGGTTTTTATCGAACCATTTAATACAGGAAAAAAAGAGCAAGCATCACCAGTAGCAGTTTACATTCTAGATTATCACCTAAACTCTAATTTATCAACAAGACAATAGTGTAAAATGCTCTCAAAATATTTGATTAACAGTTTGACTCAGAGGGGAACTTAGCAACAGAGCAACAGCGAGTGCGGTTCTCAAAATTCAGACCACTTAAGTTTGTTCTTTAGAAGGGCTAGCAATAGAAATTAAGTCCTGAAGAAGGCAAGTTAATGCTTTTCAAGCACTCACAGCAACCTTAAGTAGCAACTTTACATATTAAGAACACATGCTTTACCTTAGTGGTTAGACCATGATTTGCAACTTTTGGAAGCACCACTTTAGTGGAAGCAGATGACAAACTGAGGTTACAATCTGAGGCAACACCGAAACCAGAGGAAGCATCAGCACAAACTTTGGAGGAAAGAGCAGTTGTCTCCTGAGCTTTATCTAATGTGTGCCTCAGATTACTTGGATCATCAAGTTTGGCCACAGTAGATCTTTCAAAAGACATCAGATTTGGTGATTCCCCTTTGTTTGTTCCAGCATTCATGTCCTTGGAATGAGCATCTACTGCATACAAAGAACTGAAAGTTCAAAATCCAACCAAAAAAAAAAATTTAAACAGGGCATGCAGGCATCTACTTGACTTAATATTAACTAAAAAAAATTTCATGATGGAATAAATTTTAGGAGTTGAATGCATTTGATAATCCGAACATGATGAATGCTTTCAGCTTTTAAAAAATGCAGTAGGATCTCTTATTCCCTAATAGGCAGTGAACAATTTAACACATTGAATGTAAAAACCTCAGTGGAAAAGTATATGCCTATAAATTCTAGAGGCAACACATTTGAGTCAAAACCACCCTAATGTTACCAAAGCCCCTAGGTAAGTTAGTTTTCTTCCAATGTGGGCACAGACTCCACACTGGAGGTTCAACCAAAAGTAAACTTTCCACCTAAAATATAGCATTGACGAAAAGTCCATAAAGGTCAATGCCAATCAATTATCAACATTAATAAGCTTCCCATGTTAATAATAACCCTTCATTTCTCCCCACCCTAGCCACCTCAGAGACTAATGAAACATACTAACCTAACATTCACAAGTGAACACCTCCCCAATCAGTGGTGTATGAAAATAAATGATCAATTAACCAATTAATCAAATCAGAGAGACTACTGAAGATATGTAAGAACTCACAGCTTGATCTTGAGCCTTCAACTTGATCAGTCTGAAAACATTCACAGACATTACATCACTAAGTTACGAAACATAGTAAAATCCTTTAGCTGGATATTTTGTTTAACATACCGTTTCCTCCCCATGCAAAACTTGCTCCTGCACTAGATCACTCCGTTTTTCCTCTGAGCTGTCTCCAACCTGTCTGTCAAGAAATATTTATGGAATAGCACAAAAGCAAACTTACTTCAGAAAATTATAATGAGGACCACTATAATTTTGGCAGAAATTGAAAGAATTATATAAACTAGTGAGAAAAACGTACCCTATTTTCTGTGCAAATTAAAAGAAAAGAATTCATAAGAAAAAAAGATGCAAGTTCTTGACAGTTGTTGGAGGTTTTTAGGTTTGTACATGTGAGTGTTTTATTTTTCTTTGCTTTTTTTGGGGCGGTGGGGAAAGTGGTATTATTTTGTCCTTGTTGTAAGGGTAACAAGAGAAATTAAACGAGTGAAAAAAAAATTGAGTCCATAAGCCTCCTCTTCCTCTATATAAGCAAAGACAGTTGTTAGAAGAAAAAACTCTAATAAAATACACATAACCAAAATCCAATAGCTTAAAAGCAAAAAGCACAATGCAATTACCAATAAAGATGAATCCTGAAGTGACAAATGTGATAAATTCCATGCCAAGGACAAAGTATTCAAGGGCTAAAGAATCAATTAGGCAACATGCTAGCAAAACTACAATTTTCTACTTTCATATTTGATGCCTCAATTTTTTTTTTCCTTTTGCCACAGCATAGATACAAATGAATGTAATAATGTCCTTCAACAAATATAATGCATAGTGGAATTCATCTCAAACAATGAGAAAATCACCACTACTTCCTACCTCATATTAGGTGAAACAGTGAAAGCCTCTCCCCCTGCATCCAAAAACATCAAATGTATAAAAAATCTTAAGATCTAAATATGATGAAAGATAAGCATGAGACATGGAGGCATGTACAGAAGCTCATACTTGTCATCTACATATACTGAAGTTCTTGCAATGTAACACAAGGTTATAACTTGACTTTCTACAGAAAAAGATTTCTTAGGTTATAACTTTACCTTGACCAAGTTTCTGCAGTCTGATTTTCCATTTGCAATTGGCACAGAATTATTGTGAACAGAACCATTCTGAAAGCTATTCTTATATGGACTGATAAACCTGCACATGACAAATGTACCCATTAACTAGAAATAAACCACTTATGAAATGATATTACAGCTCACTTATTTTGAAAAGATAGGGACAACATAGCATTTATATTTTCAAGATCAGATTCAGTTGACATTGCACAGGGGCATTTATAGACCCAAAATCAAAATGTGCAAGAATGAACATATGATAATTCAAGTCCTAAACTAAACTTGAGTACAACTTAAAGTCATCAACTGCACTTGAAAATTCTACAACCAGGCTCAATAACAGTTGAGGCAAAAGAAAGAGATTGGGGAAAAAATTGTAAAAGTCAATTTTGAGCAATTGCTTTAACTAAAATTTCAGCCAGTGATTGCAACTATTACACCCGTAACATCAAAAACTAAAGCGAGAATCATGATGTGGGCCTCACTGGCATGACGAAGAACTTTCATCTAATGCTATCAACCAGTACCAGGTGGCACTACCAACGATATAATCGTATAAAGATTAAGGCATATAGTCATAGAGTCATAAAAATTATAACATTAGTAGAGACTTCAATAAATACCTCGCATGCTTTCTGTCCAAGTTGGGTTCTTTAGAGTTTGTTACATTTGCCTCCCTCTCTTCACGTACATTCTGAGGCAAAGTGCCAGCTGTAGCCGCAACATTAGCTGCTCCAACTTTTCCAGAGATACCTTCTGCTGGTAGCATTAATTCCTATACACGATCGAGTTTGTTACACAAATGGTTGTCCTGCTTGACTCCAAAATATCAAGAATTCCCAATAGCTAAAGAATGGACTATGGCATACCTTTGCAACAACTTGAACAAGATCTTCTGACAGAATTATAAGTGTCTCTATCAGACTTCCATCAGCTAGATTTGTCTGTCGATTGCCCTTCTTAATCATCCTTGCTTTCTTCAAAACAATACCTGGATAAACGCCAAATCCAAAGATAAGGAGTCCACAAACCCTGTTCTTAATCTCACAATTTTCAGAAGCTAAATTCTGAACATGGAGAGGTGATGTAAAAAAGGCAATTTAGGCCTAAAGATCCCCTCTTTATTTAAACACAATAGAAATTCAATCAAAGCTATCAAACTTTTTAATATGTACAATAGAATTGTCGAAAAAAGAAACAGGAAACAAAATACCAAATCGCATCCCAAGTTGATCAAGTCAATAAAGATAGAAATCTTTACAGGAGTAACTCTAGGAGAAAATTGAAACCCGGATACAATTTCACGTAAATCACATAAGCCAGTAAGGAAAAGAAGAAATTACAAACGTTGACAAGAAAAAATAAAGAATCACTAGAATGACAGTAAACGCACCATAGGCATCGTCGATAGAAGCAGTGTGGAAAGTTCCAGAATAAATCGAGCCATCCTTCACATGCACATCCACTGGAAAGCCAATGATGGACATAGTAATGAATACCAGAGCATTGTTCGCCGAAGTTGAGGCCCCGTTTTGTTCCTCTGGCAAAAGCCCCCATTTTTGCGACCCATCTTTATGATCTTTCCCAATTTTACAGCCTGATTCTCTCTCCAACACTTAGTATATATCGATATATATATGTTTTTGTGCTTATAAGGCAAGACAAACTAGTGATTCAAAGGTTGCTGAAGAGATCTGAAGTGGTGGCGGTGGCGGTGGAGGAGGTGGCTTCTTGCTGTTTTGCACAGCTTGGGAAGACAATTCACGATCAGCGAAAATTAGATGAATCTTGCGGGCTTTAGTGCAATGTAACATGCTGCCATGCTTTTTCCTTTTGGCTCATGCACCCGGACATTAGGCTGCAATTTTTGGTATGCCTTTTTCTTCGTGTTTTTCGCCTACCAGACCTTTCCGATTATTTTTTCGTTGTACAAATATCATTTTGGGTATTTTACGTAAAACTTTACAGTCCAATTTTCTTAGGGTGCGTTTGAAGAAACACAAGTCTGAAAACTGGAGTTTGAAATCTAAAATCTGAATTCATTAAATTGTTGAATTCTTAAGTATTAAATTTAATATATTTGAGTGTATATTATATTCAGTAATAAGTTAATAGTTTATCACTTAATTTTTGACTAAGTTTTACCTAAGAAATTCAGTGTCACTTAATTAATTTAGATGTTCAATTTTTTATTATTAAATGATCTATATATATTAAGATTTGAATCTATTAAATTTAAGTGCTGAATTGGATTATTAAACAAGGCCTTATTCAGAAATAACATCCGCTAGAGTGTTTACGGTTAGAATTTTGTGTCTAATAATTGGGGTGAAAAGGATGTGAGAGAAGATGCAAAAATTTCAAAATATATAGAGTATTTAAATGCTGAATTTTCCTTTTAATTGAACTCGTGAGATGATGATAACATGATGGTCTAACTAATATAACTTCTAATGCATTAGAAAAGAAAAGGATTGAGATAAAAGAAAAGAATTGACAACAAAATAAGGAAAAAGCCGAAGTATTATTACGGAGAGAAATAGGAAAGTAAATGAAAGATTTGTGACACCTTGATACACCTAGTCGCCTTTGATAAAATTGAAATTTAAAAGTTGAAATTTAAAATTTAAAATCTGAAATCTGAATCCATTAAATTATTGAATTGTTAAATATTAAATATAATATATTTAAGTGCATATCACGTTCAGTGATAAGTGAACAGTTTATCACTTAATTTTGGAAGTAAATTTTGCCTAGAAAATTCAATGCAACTTAATTAATTCAAATGTTCAAATTTTTTGTTATCAAACAGTCTGAATATGTTAAAATCTGAATCCATTAAATTCAAGTGTTGAACAGAGTTATCAAACAGGACCTTACTTTATGTTTTATTTTTCTTCTCACAAGAGAGTGTAGTGTAAATTTTCTATGTAATTTAAGTTTCTTTTTCATTTCAAGAATTTTATCTTTTTATTATTTAAAATCTTCCAATAGGTGTTTAATTAATAAAATACATTTACTCGTGTGTATCTGTATTCTAGACTACTTCCTCAACTAGTATCTAGCTTTTAATATTTTCCCCCCTCTTGAAAATTTATACCTAGGAAGGGTCTAAATAGTTTTCCAAAAAACACCCCATATTAAGTAGCACTAGTACAGAAAAAAGTGGGCCAATTTTTGGCTTTGGCTATAATTATGATGCACAACCGTAATTTTCCAGTTTTAACTGGTGCACAAATTTTATAACCCGGAAAATCTTCTCCTGCTAAACCCCTCTAAACCCCTCCAATCCATTCCAGATTCTTCCGCATCGCCGTGGTTAACACAAAGTTCAATCCGGCAACCCTTCAAACTCAGAATCCTCTAACAGACATGAGAAGACCAAAACCCAAGTCCAAGAAGTTCAAAATCCAGAGCCGTCAAGCCGAGGTTGAAGAACTTGAGCTCCTCGAGTCATGGATTGAATCCGGTAAACCCGAATCGGGCTCTAACGCTTTCACTCCAGCCGCTACCAATAAATCTCCGGTTGGCCGGCTATCCGATGGCTCGTTTTCTCGTTACGCGGGTTGTAAAAAGTTCAGCAATTGCCTTTGTCGAAGGAAACTAAAGATGGGTTGGCTGCAGCTAAGTACAAAAACATGACTGATATTCAGAGGGCCTCATTGCCCCATTCGATTTGCGGCCGTGACATTCTTTGGTGCTGCTAAAACTGGGTCTGGTAAGACCCTGGCTTTCGTTATTCCGGTGGGTTTTCAGCTGAATTTGTCACAGTTTTGGTTTGTTTTTCAATCTTATTTTGGTCGATTTTTATGCTTGCTGGTGTGAAAGACTTGATTTTTGGTTGGTAGAAGACGGAAATGTTCAATTTGGACGTGTTCAATGTTCTCCTTTTGTTGATATTTTAGTTTGTTTTGTTCATCGATTAGGAAAGTGAATGGAAGATTGCACTTACCAAAAAGTGGGTTAATTTTGGTTATTTTCTTGCCTATCCTAGTTTCAGAAATCCAACTGATTTGATGACAATTTATGCTTTTATTCTATTGACAAGTTAAGTTTGTCTCTTTCTCCTCTTTGACATTTGTATTCTAAACTTTCAATTGGAGTTAAAAAGATTGAGGCTTTCGCATTAAATTCTGTAAAAGGACTCATCAGCATTAGGTTGAACTTCAAACTAAAAGATCAGTATAATTTGGATTTAAGAGTTCCATGTAAAGTGCGGACTTTGAGACCTGAAGACAGAAATGCTTCTAGTTGTCAAGTTTCATACGTGTATTTGTTTAAAGTTAGATGATTGAGCTTGACAATTTTGATATTCTTCCCCTTCTGTCCTCCCCAAATTGGGAGAAAAGAAAATTAAGGCTTTTCCTGATTTTCATGCTTAACAAGTTAATATTCCTTGCTTTTCCCCCTCCCTTTTTGTGCACTTTTAGCATATCTTGTAGTGATGAGTCTTTTTTCTCCTCGACAGATTCTTGAAAAGTTATACCAAGCTAGATGGGGTCCAGAAGATGGAGTTGGATGCATTATAATGTCTCCTACAAGGGAGTTAGCTGGCCAACTTTTTGAAGTATTAAAATCGGTTGGAACATACCATGGTTTTAGTGCTGGTCTTCTAATTGGTGGCCGTAAAGATGTTGACACAGAGAAAGAACATGTTAATGATCTGAACATCTTGGTGTGCACTCCTGGAAGGCTTCTTCAGCACATGGATGAAACCCCAAATTTCGACTGCTCACAGCTCCAGGTCAATATATTCATTTGATCTTTGTTCTTCTATTCTGCTGTGACTTTCTCCTAGAGTTTCTCTTCTTCCAGTGTTAGCATTTCCTGTGTACATATACACAGTGTATGATATGTTTTGTCATCCAGTAACTTTAGTTCCTGTAATGTGTCTTATGTTTCAAGCTGTGAACATTAATTTGAAGAAACAAGAATCATCAGTGTCCATGCTTAGTTGTTTATAAAGTGCCATGGACTAAGTTTTATGTGGCATTTGCCATATACTATTGCACTTTCTTATATTCGCTTTAATGGACTGGAAACTTGATCTTTGACTTGGTAGCTGGTGCATGCTTTCTTCTACAAAAGCGAGAATGATTCTTTTTCAGTTCATCGGTTGCTAGGGGATCAGTGAATGTAATTTATTGTTGTTGGATTCAATTGCTGCAAAATTCTATACAATTCTTTTCGGGCAGTAGTTTGAGTTCATCCATATTTTCACCTAAGCACATAAAATGGTCAAGTTTTTGCAGCATCTTTTAATATTTCATGTCTGCAGGGGTGGCATGTATTTTGTCTGTATTAGACTTTATTACTTTGGACCTTTTCTTTATTACGCTTCAACAAGTTGTATGGAGGTTGTTGGTGATATTTAGTGAAATTAAAGGATGTGCTAATGGTACAATAAATTTTAAGCTACGATAGATAGGGACAATTTTTAAAACATGACTATGGTTCAAAAATTAAAGTTTTTGCTTCCTTATGAAATCTTCATGGTTCCTTAGTAGCCAACTTGGTTTGTTTTTCTGGCCAGGATACAGGTTCTGGTGCTTGATGAGGCAGATCGTATTCTTGATGTAGGATTTAAGAAAGCTTTAAATGCTATTATCTCACAACTGCCAAAGGATAGACAGACCTTGCTGTTCTCAGCTACGCAAACAAAATCTATTCAAGATCTTGCTAGGCTTAGTCTGAAAGATCCAGAATACCTTAGTGTGCATGAAGAGGCAGAAACTGCAACTCCCAATCGCCTGCAGCAAACAGCAATCATTGTTCCTCTTGAGCAAAAATTCGATATGTTATGGAGCTTTGTAAAGGCGCATCTTAATTCGAGGATACTGGTGTTTCTTTCGAGCTGCAAGCAGGTAATTCTGCATTATCTTTATTATGAATTGGGATATTCAGGTGCAGAGCCTGAAAAATGAAGAAATTTCTCATGCATAACTTGCTAGCTGTTGTAATTGAATGCAAAATTTGCTGTGCATGTATGAGAACAATCTCCAAGCATCTTAAAGTAGCCGGATATGTACTTTCTTTTTTGAGAACATTGCATAAATATTTTTCTCTGTAAACACGGAAGTAAATCTCCTGATATTGTCTATTTCAGCAATCTTGTTCTGGATAGACTTGGAACATGATCACCATCCTCTTAGATTGCTGAATTTAGTACCATCTATCTCTTTCAACAAATATTACCTTCAGAGGTCTGTCTTGTCTGAGTGCATCGCAGATAGTTTTAAAGCGGAACTGCTGAGAGAGCAAAAGCTAAAGCTGCTGTTATCTAATTCTATGAGACTCCAATCCAGCAAAATAGATGCCAATCTTGATGCCATATCTCTGAGCAAGTCATTGTTTCTGCTGCTTTTGGGGGTCAACCATTTATTCACAAGTCACTGGCTTAAAATGTATAAAGAAGTAACAAACAAGAAGGTGAAAATAACATTGGCATGAACCTGTAGGATTTGTAATTTTGTCTGCTGGATCTGGCTATAATAGCTTTAACATCTCTCTTAGTTTCTTTTGAAATCTCTCAACAGATATCACATCATTGAATCTTGGGCTGTGCAGATAGATGTCTAGATATTGCATTTTAATCTACTACTAGCATGCTTCATAAATGAGCCTTTAGGAATTGAGAGCAGAAGCAATTGCAAAAACTGATACTTTCATGGTGGTTCATGCAGTTTAATGTGTACTTTGTGGACTTTTCTGTTATTCTAATGCTCTCTTTAGTTGTTGGAGAAGAAAATAAATGCATTTCACTCAACTTGGTTTCATACTTTTTCCATTTTTGTTGTCCTGTTATTTTCATTTCATATTATATAACAGGTAAGGTTTGTTTTTG